CTGGCGCTTGCGGGATGGAATTGTGGGCAAGGGGGCCGGAACTCCAAGATGCAACGCATATGGATACAAGTCTTGCCCTCAAGCAACTCCCGTGCCCTGGCCCCGTGCTTGCCCATGCACGCCTCGACATAGTTCGCGTGCGTGCCAGCATTTGCCCCCCCCCCCCCCCTCCCCCGCCCCAAGTGCGGATGAGAGAGCGGGGGCGGTGGGGTCGTTGGCAGTCTGCGAGGCTGACGACGCCTGCCGCAGGCGCCCATTTTTTACACATAGCAAAATGAGCCCGCCACAGGCGCATAACTTTCGCCAAAGCAATGTGGGTGGGTCGCATTTGGGTCGCGGGGTGGGTCACGGGGAAGGTCGCGGGTGGGTCGCGGGGTGGATCGCGGTTGGGTCACGGGGTGGGTCGCAGAGTGGGTCGCTGGTGGGTCGTGGGGTGGGTCCCGTGTGAAATGACGACAACAACAACAACGGAACAACAACGGAACAACAACGGAACAACAACAACAACAACAACAACAACAACAACAACAACAACAACAACATCAACAACAACAGCAACAACAACAACAGCTATGCTTAGACTGTTGGCTCTTGTCTGTCCGCGTGTCGCTCAACATGTGTACCCCCGACCCTCGATACCTTCTTTTTCCGTCTTCGATCGTGTCCCCCTTGTGGGCATATTTTCCTTACCTGCCGCTGGTGCAGCCCCTGAAGCCGACGACAGAAGGAAGGAGAGGGATGAAGCACGACAAATTTGAGCAGGGTTTAGGATTAGGTCGGGCATGTCCTCCTACAGGCGGAGCGTGGAGAGAACATGGCAAGTAGTCAAAAAATGCTCAGGCATAGTGTACAAATCATCGAAGAGTCGTCCTCATATTATGTTTTGACTCGTTTCGAATACTCCTCCTGTAGAGGGACAGGCCCGCCTTCAGGTTAGGAAGCAGGAACACCGGCGGCAGAACCAGTCGGGAGGGCCCGGCGGGCGGATGCGAGCGGGCGTGCCAGGCGGACGAGCCCAGACCGCCAGGTCGCACGGGCGGGTGGCGGAAGCGTCACTCCTGCATGATCGCGAGGGCCTCGAACGATAGCGCGATTCACAATGACTACCTACCAGACAACCCCAACCCAGCCCGAAGACCCGCATTTCGGGTTGGGGGGGATACGGGTTACGTATGCAGTTTTTCTCACCACCCACCCCCACTGCAATGAAGGGCAAATTGAAGCCTTCGGGTTGGGTTAGGGTGGTTTCAGGGCCAGAGCGAGAGTGCGATTCCTGAGTGTCGGGGGCGCGGCATGTGAACAAACTGCGAAAACGTCCCACGCGAAAGCGTGGTGCCTAGGTAAATCGAAAGGCAGTGCCGAGCGAAAGCGCGTTTCGTCAACAAGTTGTGAGAGCAGATCGGGTGGGAGCCGTTGAATTTACATTTATCCATGGAACAAGTATGGTTGATCCCTCCACTCCAAGGTCCACACATTGTTTTTCAAATAGAATGCCATTTCCGGAGCTTGCACCCTGTTTCCACAAGGGAAAACTTTGAATCTCAAACTGTGTTCCTGGTCCCTGGTTTACAACAGCAACAAGCAGAACAACAAGAACAATATGGACAGCAACAAGAAGAATAATAACAACAGCAACAATACCGACAATAACAATAATAATAACAACAACAACAACGGCTCTCGCCTGATACTCCCCACAATGTATGGACCAATCGCGCTCTTGCGCTGGATATCCTTACAATTTATCATGGAACCGCGCATTCGCGAGGGACGTCCTCGCAATGTATTGAACCGCCGCGCCTTTGACACCCAAGGATCACAATTTCGCCCTGGTCCTGCTTACGGCTTGCTTGTGAATCGCGCTATTGCGCAAGACCTCCTCGCGATCCATGCAACACTGACGCTTCAACAACCCGTCCGCTCGAACCGGCCGCCCGACCCGCCCGTCTGGTTCTGCCGCTTAGTTTTCTTCGAAATCACTTCATGTTAATCTCTGTCGGGATCCATCCTTCTATGTCCACCTTGTTTCTTACATCTTCTCTCCCTTCCCCTGTTTTGGGGGCTGCGCCAGCTATACATGATAGGTACGGGATGTATGATTCTGGGCCGAAGGTTCACAGCTCCCCCCCTCAGATGGGATGGGCCCCAGGGTTTCAAAGCCCCCCGCCCCCAGATGGGATGGGGGTGGACGACGAGGGTTCCACAGCCACCCCCCCCAAATGGTATGGGGGGGCGACGGCGACGACGATTGTGACGACGACGACGCCGACGACGAAGACTACGAAGACGACGACGACGGCACTGCAGCACCACCCCGCGCCCACACCCACCGGAGGGGGGGGCGGGGGGCACCCGCATCCCCCTCCCCCCATCCACCACGCAACGCCCACAGGGCCACGACCACAAGGGGGGGAGACAGCCCCTTCGCGAGGCCTTCGCGAGGATCACGGGCGTACCCACCCAGCGAGGGGAGGGGGGGCTCGATCCCATTAGTTCTAAGGGGCGGGCGGCCCTGGATCCTATACATATATATATATGGAGATGTATATATAGACGTGTGTAGAGATCGATCTGTCATAATAAATAAAAAGATGGTAATACGATGAAAAGTACGACTGGTAATAATGGATCAGAGTACTACAGAACTGAGCAACAAGAACAACAAAAAACAATACATATAATACCGTTCACTCTTACTTGTCCGCGTGTTCTTCAAACCGAATCCCCCACACCCTCGATATCCGCCCCCTTTGTCTTCGAACACACCCCCTTTGGGAGGACTCTTTCTCTTTGCGGGGGGCGGCGGGCTTAGACAGGCGGGCAAACCTGAACGGGCAGACACTCCTTCGTGTGCGTACATGTGCCCGCCATTGGAATCGGTGTGGGCCCTGCAAAAAAAAGGAGGGGGATAACGAGGGAGAGTGGGAGGAAGGGAGGGGGAGGGACGAAGGAAGAGGGACAACGCCAGGAGAGAAGGAGCGAATAGGGGGGTGGTTGATTAGAGGCAGAGAGAGGGAGATAGACAGAAAGAGAGAGAGAGAGAGAGAGAGATATAGAGAGAGAGAGAGAAAAACATATCAGAGAGGTAGAGGAAGAGAGAGAAAGAGAGGGGACATAGAGAAAGAGAAAGGGAGGGAGAAGGCAGGAGAGCGGAGGGAGAAGGGAGGAGGGAGAGCAGGGAGAGGGGATAGGGCAGAGAGGCAAAGGATGAGGGAAGAGAGGAGGAAGAGAGAAGGGAGGAGAGGAGGGAGGAGGGAGGAGGGAGAGGGAGGAGGAGCAGGAAGGTAAGAGCGTGAACGGTCGAGGAAGTCCTGGGCGAAAGCGCTGTTCCTGAAGGAAGTCTCGGGCGGGAGCCCACGACGGGCGGTCGATCCCCTGAAGGGCGGGTCGGGCGGGTGGGACATTCAAACGGGATGCCTGAGTATGGCGAGAGCGCGATTACTAAGTAAATTGTAACGGCGTCCTTGGCGCAGCGTGTTTCCTGAGCGTCGGGAACGCGATTTCTTAATACATTGCATGGAAGTCACAGGCGACAGCGCAATTCCTAAATAAACTGTGAAGGGTTCTCTGACGGGAGCGGGGGTCTTGATTACATTGCGAGGAACACTTGATTCAATCGCGAGGAAGTCTCAAGCGGGAGCGCCGTTCCTGAGTAAAGTATGAGGAAGTCTCAGATGGGAGCGGGAATCCTGACTAAATCGCGAGGGAGTCACAGGCGGGAGCAACGATCCTGAGCAAATTGTGAGGACGTCGTAGGAGGGGGGGTCCTGAATAAATTTGGAAGACGTCTCTGGCGGGAGCCGTTGATGTTGTAATCGGGGGGGCCAGTTGCCCAGTTTGAGCACCAAGACTTTCCCTGTCAAGAAACAGGGTGCGAGCGTCGAGGTGCACACTGAGAACAAACAGTATGCACCGGAGAGGGGGGATCAGCAATACTTATTCTTCAGAAATGAGAGTTCAACAACACGAACAACAACCATAATATATATAACACAAAAAACATACTACAAACATTCGCGCGCGCGTTCCGCGCGCGCTCTGGTTCGAGGTCGCTTCAGGCGTTGGGAAATCGAAACTTGACCATGTTTGACTCCGCACGTTCCTCCTTGTCGGCTTACTTCACTCGACCTTCCGTGGCTATCGTCTCCCAGCTTGCGTATCGTTGCCATCTCCTGCGCTATGTTGCTGCTTTCTGAGCCTTCGTCCAAATTCTGGTCTCCTTGTCCCCCATTATGCCCCATCCCTCGTGTTCCGTTGTTCCTGCCTCACCCCTGCCTTTGGTTTCTCCGCTTTCCTCTTATGGTCGTCCTTGTGTGAGCTTGCGCAAACACAATACGTGGCCGCTCCGTCTGGATCCTGTTTGAATATCCTTCTGTCCGCCCCCCCCCTCCTCCTGGTGACGGGTTGTGGCCCGAAACTTATTCGCTAGGGCTAAATCGACGGCCCATTGAGGCCTCCAATGCAGGTCTGAGAAACCAACAATACAGCCCAAGAGCATTCCAAGAGAAGCCCAAGGCGGCCCCGGGATGCTTCCACCACGGCACCCGAAGAGCCAGACAACGCAAGAACGCTCCAAGACGGCCAGACTTGCCCCTAGAGGTCCGCGAAAGAAAAAGAAGCTTCCAAGAGATCTCCAGACATCTCTAAGAAGGCTCCACAAGCCCCTCGGAGCCCACACGTGGACGAGCGTCCTAAGATGGCCCAAAGAGGCGTCCAAGACGGTAAACAAAAACGAACAATACAGCTCAAGGGCAACCCAACATGATCCCAAAGCGGCCCCGGGATGCTTCCAACACGGCCTCCGAAGAGCCAGACAACGCAAGAAAACACCAACACGGCCAGAACTGCCCCTAGTGGTCCAGGAACAAAAAAAACCAAGAGATCTCCAGAGGCCCCCAAGAAAAGGCTCCACAGCCCCTAGGAGTCCACACGTGGACGGGCGTCTTATGATGGCCCATAGAGGCCTCCAAGACATCTTAAGAAGCCAACATCACAGCCAA